TTTTTTGTCTGTCCTGTTTCAATTGTCTATTATCTTTTCTCATTAAACAAAATTTCTCCTGTAGTTACTGATTGGAGTATGACGCCTTTATATCTTTCCCCTAAAGTTATAACACTCAATATAATACATAGCTTCCATTCGGATTCTGTTTGGTACATTCTTAAACTACACACAATATTCATATAAAAAAGAAAAAATTATAAATGTATATAATTAAAACAACATTCCATTCCAATTCAATTCTATCATTAATATTAAAATTCATTAAAGTCTTAAGGTTTTTCACGTTACTTTTCAATTAAATATCATACCTCTATGGGAACAATTATTAGCTTTCCATAATCAATTCCCCCCTCTTCACTTATATTTTATAAAACATTGACTAAAAGTGTTCACATTCCTTCCTAATTCAATTTTCTCATTTATTTTATTTCATTTACTTTATTCACAGACATTTCACTAAGTTACACTAACCATTCTATCCCTCATTTTAATATGTTGTTTCCAATTTTCTAAAGTTATTTCTATTTCAAATATAACACAATCTCATGTACCTTTACAGAATCCCCCTTTCAGTTAAATTTTTATCCATTGTCTCTAAATAGGTCCTGTTTCTTTATATCTTGCTCCAGACCTTTGTGACTTCTTTTCCTTTCCTCCTTCCCTCTCTTCTTCTCCCTCCCCTTTTTACCCCTTTGTTTCTCTACCTCTACTTCCCTCTTCTGTATTCCCCTTTTCTGTTGTTTTCCAGTATTATACTTATTTTTCGAATTATTTTTCTTTTCTTTGGTTGTTTTTTTAAATCTTAAATTCTCCATCCTCTTTCCCCCCTTTCCTTTTTCTTCCCCACATAGAGTTACTTGTTCATTAAAGATGGCTTCTTCTTTGTCCCAATCTTCTTGTTTTGCAGTCTTTTCTTGTTGTTTCTCATAGTTCCAAATCTCCATTTCTAAGAATTGAAAAATGAAGCCAAAGAAACCCTTCCCTTCTTGTGCCTCTTCTTTGTACTTTTTAAGTACCATTTTCAATTCATCGAAAAGTGATGCCATTGTAAAAAATTTTAAACAACCACTCGATTGATTTTAGTCATTCAAATATAATAGCCAAAAATCCAAAAGTCACCAAGTAATCCAAATACACTTTCTCTTCCTGGGGTTATTATTAAGTTGCAAAGTTTCAGTTAAAATGTATCTTTTAGAAGTCTTATTGAAATTTTACTTTAGATTCTTTTAGATTCTTTTAAAGTCCAGGCAGTCTCCTCCCTCTTCCAGATCCTGCCCTTATTCTTTTTCTCTCCCTTCCTGCTTATGGAAAAAAAAGTTTTTAATGTCCAGAAATCTTTATTGTCCCTTTGGCATTTAGTTATATTTTCAGCTTAATTGCCTGTTGATGCCAAAGCGGATTTTTCCAATTTCTTACTCTTAATTGTCAATATAAGGAAGGAGAGAGAAGGGAAAAAAAGCCAAACCTTTCCCTTTTCACTTTCTTTCGCTGCTTCCGACTCTTCTTTGGGAGCGATGTTATTTCTTGTAAAATTTAAATTCCAGGGTACCTTAGTTATTGCTTTTTCAACTTAGCCCGGTCAGCCAAAACTTTCACTTCTTATCTTTCTCCTGCACGTTCTTTTCCGGTTGAGTACTTCTTTGAGGTGGCCATTTCTGACCACCACTCCTGGGAGTTTGACCAGCTGAGGAGGAGAGATGCGGCTCTCCTCGACCCTGCTGGCAGTCTCCCCCTTCTTCACCACCTCTACAGGGTGGCTTAGCCCCGAAACCAGCCGGCTCGGGGCGCTCCAGCGGCGAGCCCAGTCAGAAACCGCACACGATCGCGGATTGCTGTCTGTCGCCGAAGCCCTTCAAACCGGAAGTCGCAACAAATATTTCTTTATATACTTGTCTATTTCTCTCTTTCCCTACCCAAGTTAATGCATCCGTTGAAATCTGGATACCTACTCAAGTAGAATACCTACTCAAGGATGTAATGACAAAACGCATTCATGATATTATCTAGTTGGGCAATGAAATGTTTGTAAGTGAACAACCAAGCTCAGAGAACACCAAGAATTCCCAACTATGAGCTAAACATACAGTATGTCACAGAAGTGAGTACACTCCCTCACATTTTGAAAATATTTAAGTATATCTTTTTATGTGACAACACTGAAGAAATGAGCCTTGGCTACAATGTAAAGTAATGAGTCTATAGCTTGTATAACAGTGTAAATGTGCTGTCCCCTCAAAATAACGCAACACACAGCCATTAATGTCTAAACTGCTGGTAACAAAAGTGAGTACACCCCTAAGTGATAATGTTTAAATGAGGCCCAAGTAGCCGTTTTTCCTCCCTGGTGTCATATGACTCATTAGTGTTACAATGTCTCAGGTATGAAGGGGGAGCCAGTATGTTAAATTTGATGTTATCACTCTCACTCTCTCATACTGGTCACTGGAAGTTCAACATGGCACCTCATGGCAATGAAAACTCTGAGGGTCTGAAAAAATGAAATGTTGCTCTACATAAAGATGGCCTAGGCTATAAGAAGATTGCCAAGACCCTGAAACTGAGTTGCAGCATGGTGGCCAAGACCATACAGTGATTTAACAGGACAGGTTCCATTCAGAACAGGCCTCCCTATGGTTGACCAAAGAAGTTGAGTGCCTGTGCTCAGTGTCTTATCCAGAGGCTGACTTTGAGAAATACAGCTATGAGTCCTGCAAGCATTGCTGCAGAGGTTAAAGGGGTGGGGGGTCAGCCTGTCAGTGCTCAGACCATATGCCACACACTGCATCAAATTGGTCTGCAGGGCTGTCATCCCAGAATGAAGCCTCTTCTAAAGATGATGCACAAGAAAGCCTGCAAACGGTTTGCTGCAGACAAGTAGACTTAAGGACATGGATTTCTGGAACATGTCCTGTGGTCCGATGAGATCAAGATAAACCTATTTGGTTCAGATGGTGTCAAACATGTGTGGTGGTAACCAGGTGAGGAGTGCAAAGACAAGTATGTATTGCCTACAGTCAAGCATGGTGGTGGAATGTCATAGTCTGGGGCTGCATAAGTGCTGCCAGCACTGGGGAGCTACAGTTCATTGAGGGAACCATGAATGCCAACATGTACTGTGACATACTGAAGCAGAGCATGATCCCCTCCCTTCAGAGACTGGGCCGCAGGGCAGTATTCCAACATAATGACCCCAAACAAATGCTAATGAAGCTGAGGGTAAAGGTGATGGACTGGCCATGTCTCCAGACCTAAACCCTATTGAGCATCTGTGGCGCATCCTGAAACAGAAGGTGGAGGTGTGCAAAGTCTCTAACATCCACTAGCTCTGTGACGTCGTCATGGAGGAGTGGAAGAGGACTCCAGTGGCAACCTGTGGAGCTCTGGTGAACTCTATGTCCAAGAGGGTTAAGGAAGTGCTGGAAAATAATGGTGGCCACATAAAATATTGACACTTTGGGCCCCATTTGGACATTATCATTAGGGGTATACTCACTTTTGTTACTAACACTTTGCAAATTAATGGCTGTGTGTTGCGTTATTTTGAGGGGACAGCACATTTACACTGTTATACAAGCTGTATACTTACTACTTTACATTGTAGCCAAGTGTCATTTCTTCAGTGTTGTCACATGAAAAGATATACTTAAATATTTACAAAATGTGAGGAGGTATACTCACTTCTGTGAGATACTGTATTTTCTTCCATATACCCTTGAGGGTCTTCACTACTTACTCACCTCCACTGAAAATGTTGCCCATAAATTCATGCTCTTTGCTAACGAATTGTCAATTTGTATGAGAGTAGATACAATTATCTTGTAACTTCTAGATTTAAGCAAGAATCTTTGCTGAAAAATTATGTCAAAGCTGTTTGAAAATCCAAACATACCATGTTGAAAGGTCATTTCTAACTATATGCCTGCTAGCATTCTTTTAAAAAAAGGTTGCTAAAACAGGATTTCCCTTTCAGAATCGATGTTTATTTTTCTTCAGAAAGGTGTGTTTCTTTATGTGCCTAGCTATGTTATCTTTGATTACCTCTTCTACTAATTTGTCCAGAACAGATTTTAAATTGGCCTATAATTTTTTGAGTATCACCTGAGTCCTTTTTAAAAAAATGGGTCTCATATTGATTAGCCCCATAATTCTGGGGTATTGAGATTTAGCTGAGGATAACTTGCAAGTTAAGTGGCAAGTTGAAGATAGGGGTCAAATGTCTTCTTTACTGAAAACAAGCTACACTGTCACATAATGAATCAAAAAGCAGCAGTACATCTGCCTGAGTTCAGTTATTCAGAATTTCAAATTTTTCCACTCACATAGTAATGACTTAATATTTTTCTGTTCATATTTCTAATGCAGTGTGAAAATATATTATCATATTCTTGTGTTATCTTCATAATTCATACAATGCCATACAGTTACTGAAAGTGTGACTCACACAATTACTTCTTAGGCTATTTAATTTGTCAATTTGTCGATAATTTCTGGAATTGCTATCACAAGAACTGCATTGATCAAAGTCAACAGAAAACTTGCAAACAATTAGGAAGGTTCAAAAGTAAATGAAAATTCTTTAAGTACAACAATATATAGGCAGCATTCCCATCTCATTTTCCTGGGTCTCCCATATCTCATATCCCATATAATAACGGTGATACAGTGGTTAGAGTACAGTACTGCAGGCTTCTTCTGCTGACTGCCGGCTGCCAGCAATTTGGCAATTTAAATCACCAGCTCAAGTTTGATTCAGCCTTCCATCCTTCCAAGGTGGGTAAAATGAGGACCCAGATTGTTGTGGGCAATATGCTGACTCTGTAAACCCTTAGAGAGAGCTGGTAAAGCACTGTAAAGCGGTATATAAGTGTAAATGCTATTGCTATCTCCAAAGTAATTAGCCAGCCTTGTGTGCCTCTTGAAAATGGTTAGCATTTGGGAGGGAATATGTATTCATTTTTATGAAAGCTTATATTAATTTACACATTTATGTTTCCCAGTTGGGTAATGAAATATCTGCAAGAAAACAATCAAGACCCCACAATTGCCAAGCACACAAACTGCAATCATAAGACCACAGGGGTGATATATTGGTCAAAGTGTAACACTTTTTTCAAAGTAACTGTAATTTTGAATTATCATTAAATAAATGATACATAAGTCAAGGACTGGTAGTCAAAGCCTAATCTTTACCTAGCATCAGATTTGATGGCATACAAGTTTAACAAAGAAACCAGCAAGGAAATAAAAAATGTCCCTGAACGAACCATAAAACCATATGCCAGATGAAAATACTTCTTTTAAAATCCCTAGGCCTTCTGCAAGGCCTTTGTTCCAAGCTACTTTTAAAATCATGGTCACCAAGATCAGGGTCAATATTGCAAAATGTGGCACTGAGGATGTTTACGAGAATCTGATTCATGAAGCATGTAACTTTAGCATTGCATAAACCACCTCAGTATTTGATTAAATATTAATCAGAAATAAAGAAATAGTTGATTATCGATAAAACCATAAATGATTTAAGGCCAGCTATTTGAAAATCAGTTTCTCTTAAGAGGCCACCCTAACTATTACAACTATCATCTTCTTTGTACAGGTATAACTAGTTAAGACAAAGTCTTCTAGGCAGTGGAATTGACTCTTTTCAGAGTTCATGCAAATGGCTAAGGCATTCTTATTTTGCTAGACAACGTTTAAAATATGGATTAAACCTTGCATTATGCTGTTATAAATGATTTTAATTATCTGTTTAAAAGGTCTCCTTGTTCCTATTCCAGCACCTAGTTCAACCTCTACACTGCCCTGGCCCTCGTTGTTCACATATGCTATCTGATAACTATCTAAATGACAAAATATGTAACTTCTCAAAGAACAAATGTATAAAGCCGGGGCAATCAAGTACAATGACCCTATTGGGACCATTATTCTTATTTCAAAGGTAGGAACAGAGCAACTAAAAAAAACATGTCTAATGAGTTGGAGAGGGTCATGTGAAAGAAATCCTCAAAATATTTTTGTCTATGGCTTTAGAGATGAGTCCCAAAGGTGCTTTTTCAAGAGGCAACTGGACTTTCTGGTTTTTCTTTGAAGACATTTTGTTTTTCATACAAGAAGCTTGGATAATAAGCAATGTATCTTCAAAGAAAAATCAGAAAGCCCAGTTGCCTCTTGAAAAAGCACCTTTTGGGACAACCATGACCTAGATGACTGAGAATCTCCATAGATCTTTAGAGATGAGGCATGTTTCTTTTTTCTTTGCTATTGAAGATTTTGCTATTGCTATTGAAGTGCTTAGTGACTATTATTCCTTTCATAAACAACTCTCTCTGTATTTTGAGCACTCATTCTATTGGTCAGAGAAATGCAAATGACAGCCATATGCCTAAGTGGCCTACCTACCTGAAGAATGTTTTATTACTGGAGAAGTAAGTATTAGAGATAAAATGACCTGAAATTATTTGTTTGAAGAATCCCAGTAGGGTTAGACCATTTTTTTACACCTGTTTATTTTAATTTTTTCATTTATTCCATTAGAGGAATGCTTTTCTTAAGACAGAATGGGAATGAATATTATCTTAGGAACTGGCTGATACATCAGTAAATAATTCTTAGAGCTTCTCTAACTGCATTGTTTTCCACTGTAGGAATAACCTGAAGTTCAAATTTCATTTAGTCATAGCAAACAGCCTCTCCAAGAGTCTTTTTATACCATCATTGTGTATGCATTCTCATACAACAATTTATCTTGAGAGACTCACAATGTTTTGTTTCTTCTTCCATATTAAAGAAATTATTTCAAACTGAGATGAGACTAAGTTAATTTTGGAGGAAAATCCAAAGGTGCTTTTTCAAAAGGCAAGTGGACTTTCTTTGTTTTTCCTTGAAGACATTTTGCTTCTCATGCAAGAAGCTTCTTCAGTTCTGAATCAGAATCAGAACCATTTAGTCAGAACTGAAAAAGCTTCTTGAATGAGAAGTGAAATGTCTTCAAGGAAAAACAAAGTAAGTCAGTTGCCTTTTTAAAAAGCACCTTTGGGACATCCATGATCTGGATGACTGAGCATCTCCACAGACATTTTGGAGGAAAACGATTTGATTCTTAAAGTTTTCATTAAATAACTTATTATTTTGGGAAGTGCTGATAATCTCTATTTTCAATTTTTTCAGGAAATATTTGGAAAGGGTTATGGAGAAACCATAACTTTATAAGTTCTTATGTACAATATCTAAATGCTTTCAGATTTGCAAGACTTTGTTACTGTAACTTACAATAAAGGCCATATTGTTACGTATTGATTTCTTGGCTGGACTTTGTTGGACTATGTTGAAAGACTCACAGATAGGAATCTTGGTTTATCCATTTTTCTCAGATTTTTTTCATACAGATAAAATTGCATCTATACAAAATCTAATCTCTGAATTAGATTTTATAATAAGCAAAATATATTGAAACTTACCACAGAAGTAAGAGCCATCTGAAAACTGTAGATTCGTGCAAGGCCAAAGTCAGCTAATTTTATTTGTCCACTGCTGGTGACTAGAATGTTTTGGGGCTTTAAATCACGGTGGACCACTCTGTGTGAATGTAGAAAATCAAGGCCTCGCAGCAGCTGAAACATCATATCCTAGGAGAAAAGAAGCAAAAATGTTAGATTTTGGGATACCATGTATCATAAAGTGAGCCTATTTCAAAGCAATGGAATTAACTGGCAAATATATCCAACAATTCTATACCCACCCATACATTAATTTTTTTAAGTGCTCACATAGAAAAAAGTTATTAACCATTAACTAATCTGTATGAAGATAAATGAATGTTCAGGCCCTATTTCCATATTTCATTTTATTGATTTGCTGAAAATTTTTAATAATACTTATATAATGCTTAATACTTCTGCTGCTTTTGAAATTGTATAAAATTATATTTACTAGTGAAATTATATTTACTAGTCATTTGACAAGACATTTTGCATTGTTTTCATTCTATGTTGAAAATAAATATGATAATTATGCATTACAATATATTGATAATACATTTTATTACCTTCTGGTTAATTTTGCTAGACTACTCATCAAAAGATTTTTTTGTAATTTGGTTAAAGGCCATTATCTATTATTTACATATGTTATTTTTACAAATCATCTTAGCAAATAATTTTGGAAGTAACTGCCTCCATACTTTATAAATATTACTGAAGGGCTATATTACAATGTTAGTTTAGTAGGCAACATGAACACAAAAGGGTGTATAACGCATTTAAAACATGGCTTAGCATGATGTATGAAGCTGGTCTGTCTTCTGAGTATTAGGAAATCCTGAACTGAAGATTAATGGAGAAAATGCAAAATTATATGAATGAAACATGGAAATGCATCTCATTCCTTTTCATCCTGATTCAAACAACATTCTATTGTATATTGGTAATTTATTAACATAAAATAACATTGGTTGACTTAATGTTACAGCTCAGAGGATCTATTCCTAGATGAACTCCCCAAGCTATAATGTTTACTAAATGAAGTTAAACTTATATCTGAAAATGCATTTGTCGAATTGTTCTGTTAATTATGGTTAATGTTTAAGAGATGGCATATGCTGAAAGCATTTTTCTTACTGGAAGACGGTGATAGGGCCAAAATTCAGTTTTTTGTTCCTAACAGCTGCTTATGGAATCACATAAATGCATCCACTTATTTAACCTCAAGGACAACGTTTACAGACACTAAACACTACCAGCACACTTCCTCTGCCTCCAGTGGTCATTTCCTTTCTAGTTTAAGTTGCATGACAGCATGTGACAACAGATATTAATGGAGGCAATGCTGTGCCAATATCTCTCAAATTGCTTTGATGGTGGCTGCAGGCTGCCTGCTTGGCTACCCAGCCAAGACCTCACATGAAACATGGCAAGGGGCCCATAGTTCTATTCACTAACAAGACAGCTGGTCAGTGATTAGGAAGCTGAGATAATGCTCCAAAGGGGAACATGCTTTTGCAAGCAGCTTTAGGCTCATGGACTCAAATTTGCTCAAATAGAGAATTTGCACCATCCCCCTAGGTTCAGGGTGACTTGAATCCCAGCAAGGAACAATTTCTTAGCAGATCAGTCTGATAAAATTGTAACTAGGTAAACAAAAACTGTCACCTTTAAAAATTTCAATTTCTTAAGACAAACCAAACAGAAAATTGAGTAGAACCTTTGAATTAAGAAAGTAGACTTGGATTATATTTGAAATTGAATGCAACACTTTGCTCTCAAGGGTGCCTAAATAGGACAATCTAATACTGACTGGCAGCATAGCCTCTACCCTTTAAAATTATGCCTAGGTCCTTAGCCCAAGATAAACACCCCTTCAAAGGGTGCAAGAAGTGCATATACAGTACTTTGTGAGGATTTTTTTTTTGCCCTAATATTCTTCCAATGTCTTCTAATAAATGGAACACGGAAAAGCCCCTGCCCTTCTTTTTCTCTGTTTAATACCAACAAGTAATAAATTAAGCTAGGAAACAAACACCAAGCCTTTTCCTTCCCATGGATCTTTTTCTTAGAAAGTATAAAAGAAGAGACATCACAGTGAAAAAAATGAAAAGAAGAATCCTCAAGAACCTTCCCTCCATCCTTCTCAAAGACTGGTGGACACTCATTTAGTCTTGTTTATCTAGATAACTGTATCTAATTACAAGACCAGAATTCTGTTTTCCTTGTTTGCATTGACTAACAGTAGCCAGTCATGGTTATTAAAACATGAAAAACATGCTAGCAAATCAAGGAATTGTTGCAATTGGTGAGAGGTTAGGGTATTACCCTCTACAAATTACTCAGTGGGAAATGAATATGGAGGGCTAAAACAGATGCTGTAGTTTGGCAAACTGCTTTAAAAAGACTGAAGTACCTCTACTACATCAGAGCCTAAGTAACCTTTCATTTACTCATGCCAATTAAGAATAAAAACAACCACCCACCAATCAGAGAGTCTACCACACGAAAAGTATGCACTGTTGCAAAATGCCACTCAATGAATTGGAAGCAAATGGTATATTTAGAAAAGCAAATGAAAGGGCCAGGCATCACTATCAAAAGAGGGCTGTTCTCTTTTGTGCCTCAGATACTAAACAGATTTACTGTGTGCCCTGCAAATTCATGAGCTTCTGCTTGGTATAACACATTTCCATGCCATGTAAACCCTTCTTATGCATAGCCAGAAGAAAAGGTCTCTTTCTCTAGTATGTTTTTCTTGTGGCTAAGGAAAAGACAAGATGATGACTTTCCAGCCCATTGCACTCATATAATGTTCTCATCAATCACTCAAGGGTAGGTCTTTGTTATCTATACTAGAGAACTGTTTTTGATTTTGCAATTCACAATGCAGCATGACTTCACTAACTACATTAGGGTTATCTTCAGCACATTTGCAACATCAAAAATGAACGACAACAACAACCACAAAAGCCTAAGACTTAAGGCAGGAGTGTGAAAAGCGCAGGCCGCAAACAGTTTCTTTCTGCTGCCCCTAAAGCCTTTTCCCCGCCTTTTTAAATTTTTTTTATTTATTTTTATTTGTCAATTGCTTAAAGGATAATAGGTATAAGTAAAAACATAGTTATGAATGCATTGATACATATAAGGAAAATAAAAAATATATAAAAGAAACAATAGGACAGGGACGGTAGGCACATTGGTGCGCTTATGCAGGCCCCCTACAGACCTCTTAGGAAAGGGGTGAGATTAATAGTAGACAGTCTAAGGTTAAAGTTTTTGGGGTTTGGGGAAAAAAACCCCAGAGTCAGGTAGAGTATTCCAGACATTGACCACTCTGTTGCTGAAGTTGTATTTCCTGCAATCAAGTTTGGTGCGATTAACCTTGAGTTTGTATCTATTGTTTGATCTAGTGTTGTTATGGTTGAAGCTGAAGTATTCATTGACAGGTAGGACATTGCAATGTATGATTTTATATGCTATACTTAGATCGGACCGAAGACGGCATAGTTCTAGGTTTTCTAGGTTTTGAGTCTGGTGGCATAAGGTATTCTGCAACGAGTAAAGGAGGGGAGAACTCTTCTTGTGAAATATTTCTGGACTTTCTAACTGTGTTAATATCAGATACGTAATGTGGGTTCCAGACTGATGAGCTGTATTTGAGTATTGGTCTAGCAAATTTTTTGTATGCTGTAGTTATTAGTGTAATATTACCAGAGAAAACACTACGTAAGATTAGGTTAACGACTCTTAACCCCTTTTTGGCTATGTAGTTACAGTGGGCTCTAGCACTTAGATCATTAGAGACGAGTATTCCAATATCCTTGACAGAGTTTGGATCATCAACAAGGTCTTGACTATTCAGCTTGTATTTTATTTTCTGTTTTTTTTGCCAATATGTAGGACAGAGCATTTATTTGTTGAGATTTGAAGTTGCCATTTGTTTGACCATTCTGATACATAGTCAAGGTCTTTTTGAAGGGTAGCAGGACTGTGGTGTTGAATAGCTTTACATCATCAGCGAAGGGAACACAGTTGCTCTTGACACAATCACAGAGGTCATTTATGTAGAGTATGAAAAGAGTTGGTCCTAGAACACTGCCTTGGGGGACACCACTGTTGACAGGTACAGAATTTGATAGGACGCTCCCAATTTTGACCATTTGTTGTCTGTTTGACAGGAATGCTTCTATCCAGTTATGCAGGTGTCCAGAGATACTGTAAGATTTTAGTTTAAGGAGTAGTTTGTCGTGTACCACTGAATCAAAGGCTTTATAGAAGTCTATGTAGACTGCGTCTATTGCTTTGCCCTGATCGAGTTGTGTAGTCCATATGTTTTTGCAGTGTAAGAGTTGCAGATTACAGGATAGTTTTTTCCTAAAACCAAATTGTTTATTAGAGAGTAGGTTGTTTGTCTGTAAGTGGAGGATGATGGATTGGTTAATAATTGATTCCATGACTTTACAGGTGACGCAGCATAAAGAGATTGGTCTGTAATTTTCAACTAGGCTGGGGTCTCCCTTTTTGAAGAGGGAGATGACCGTGGCTTGTGACCATAGTTTTGGCAAGGAGCTGGTCCTGAAAGATTTTTCAAAGATTATGCTTAGAGGTTCGGCTATGGCAGTGGATAGCTTTTGTAAGAAGTAGGCACATATTCCGTCTGGTCCAATAGATAGAGATGGTTTTAGATTGCACAGTGCTTTTTCAACAATGTTTTCTGTAAAATCGATATGTATTAGATCATTGTAGTTGTCTGTGGTTCGACTAGGAAATACTGGGCATGATCCATTGCTGTTTACAAATACTGAGCCAAAGAATGTGTTAACGAGGTTGGCTTTAATGGTGTCGTCGTTGCAGTCTTTACCATTAGGTCCTTTCGGGGATGGGATGGACCCCTTTTAGTTTGTTGTTTATAAAATTATAGAAAGTGCGGGTGGAATTGGTGCATAGAAGGTTTTCTTCTTGTTTAATGTGATAATTGGTGTATTCAGTTTTTATCTGGTGGCATAAATTTTTGTATCGGCTTTTGAAGTTGGCAACGTGACCAGATTTGTTTTTCCGTCAGTGATTTCTTTTTGGATTGAAGCTTCCTTATTGTTTTGGGTAATTTGTTTTTTTCTGGTTTTGGGAGTTGTTAATGGTACATA